CATATTTCCACATATCACTGTATCATCTGTCGTCCCGCTGATCGCCGAGTGACTCAAGCGGGTACCAGCAACTCTTCCATTTTTCCCTATCGCGTGCAAGAGTAGCCCAGTGGTCCTCCTCGCTCTAGGGATTCGCTGAGCATCATACCTTTCTTCTATCGCTTTCGTGAAGAAATCGGCACAACCTGTCAGTGGTTTCCTTTAGAACGCTTGATGTCCCGAGAAATCCAGTCGGTAACGGCTCTCTTCCATCGGTTGTCGTTGAAGCGCATCACGTGTCCGGCCCACCTTATTTTCGATATCCTGGCGTGTAGAACGGCGTCTCTGATTTTCGATCGTTGACGCAGGTCGGAACTTCGGATCCTTTCTCTCATTTGCGAGATACGGGATGCTCCTAGAATCGACCTTTCGACTGCGCGTCCGATAACTCCATGTTGGAGTTATCGAGTTTCCGCATATACAGATATGAAAAAGGTACAGCTAAAGACGTGCATTAAATACCTACATAAAACAACTGAAATGATTGCATTGTAGCTTTTCTATTGATTTTGAAGTACGCTTTGATTGTCCGCGGAAAAATGAATATTCGATCTCATTCGCTGGACAAAAAATTTTTAGAGGAGTGTTAGTAGTCATTCGAAAGTCAGAATTTTTGACTACAGCGTTAGGTAGCCGTTTCTCGAAAAGACCTTTTACAAGGCTGTAGCATAAAAAACGAAATTATGTTTCACACCCGCCGTGCGCCTTCATTTTTGTAGTGCATAGAAATCGCTGGAAAAACGAAAAGCATATGCACGTGCAGAGAAAATCTCTTAGTATATGAGTCAATCGTTTTATTCGGAGTTTCTTTCAAAGCGGAGAAAAAAAAACCTCCATTGAATAAGTTGGTACACTATGCCTAATGCATAGAGCCATAGATCAATCGCTTCGCCTCCTGCCCATGGATTAGTCGGTAAACAAGCTCGTCGGATATGTGAAACTCCGCCACATTTTCCCTGCTACACTGCAGTGAAACGATACTTTCAGAAAATAAGCGTAACGATAAAATCATTGAAGTTTCGACATCAAATGACTGCTTATAGTCTAAAGAAAGAACTCTGTCCGTCGAGGTTCAATACACAAATCTTTCCCTTCTCCCACAGCGCTATCGAAAGAGCGTTTCCGAAAAGCAAACACATTTCCGAGTTTTTTCGAAAATTGTGCTTATTAGCAGTGTAAATAAGTCTTATCCAACGAAAATAAGCGAAATAGGAAGAAAAAACGCATGGTCGTGCGAAGCATATATTCATTTTGAATTTAACAGCGTTATAAAAAGATGCTTTGAAAAACCGGCCAAGTGTCGCGCTAGCCAGAGATTCAAGCTTTCGAATGATTACTGAATCTTCTATAAAAAATTCTTGCCCCAGCTAATGAAGTCGAATATTCGTTTGCAGCCGAATAAAAAACAAGAACTGATTTTGAGTCCTTAAAAGCAGCGCCGATATACTAAGCAGTACACCACAGCGACCAATTTCCTGTAAACCTCCATATATAAATCAAAAGGTAGAAGACCTCTCACAAACTGTCCTTCTATTCAATTAGCGTTATGTAAAGATACGTCGACGCTTCGAAGAAGGCATAGTCATCAGAACATTTAAGCCTTCAATACTGAAGAGGAGAAGAGATCGATCATCTCCAGGAGAAGGTCTATTTGAGGAAAAGGACAACTCGTGAGGCAATAAACAGTATTTATAAGTCACAATCTAGAAAAGTACTACGAGTGGACTCAATAAAGAAGAGGTACCACCTCAATTTAGAAGAAAATTAGACATAAAAAAGGAAGTGAAGGGAGAAGAAGAAAGGAGGAACTCGCCTCACTTGAACACACCGCCGACAATTGCCCACGAACGTAATTGTGCTGGATGACCACCACCACGCCCACCAGAAGAGATGTTACTGGAAGAACTCCGAGGTACTCTTTAGAATCATTCACTCACTTTGTAAAACGTGAAATTCTCGGCTGAAAATCGCTGAAGCGGTTTCCTTTGATTGCTTACAATTATGGAAATCAAACTTGGAAATATACAAGGAAAAATATACAAATGTACAAATGTAATGAAAATAAAATACAAGTAGATCAATAATAAGCAATAATAAACATAGCAGCAGTAACAGACAGGTGACATATAGACAATAATACATGATGATAATGTATTGTAATGTGTAATAAATACAAAGACAAGACATAAAGCTAAAGGATAAAGCTCTCGGCGTTGATCAATCCCTGAGGGATGCACCATGAATTCGACTTCAATTTTTAACTTCGTTTGAGGTGATGGACGGCATATCTGGCCTTTACAATGGCTCGCGGTGGCCTCCCGCTGACCCGACTCACTCCTACTTATCCTCCCAGACAAGTCTGTGTGATCAGTCCTGGTACCAATTTACCGACCCCGGAGGAATGGATGGCTTGATGAGCCATGAGCGCGAGATCGAACCATTGACCTCGTGTGCGACGCAGAGCACCTCTAACCACTGCGCCACTTGCGCTTTGCAACATGACGTAATCATAATAATATAATGATAACAGCAGATGGTAAAAACACTGGTAAATGCATAACAGAATACGAATGAAAACAATGAGACGATATAAATTTACGAATAAAAAACAAGTACATAAATAAACTAGCAAAGAGTAGATCTGGGTTCAAATCCCGGCTGACGCAAACGTTTTTGCTCACACTCTACTTATTGGTTTACAGAACATCATAAACCGCAATAAGCGGTCAAATAAGATGATTTCCGATTGATATTGACTGCAATGTTCAGGTGAAATAAATCAATAAATCGATAAGTATGAGGAAGAGGACCGACAGGACGATGAGACGATAATGTATCGGACTGACAATGACGACGACGACACCGACAAGAGAAAGACTGAGTGAGCAGTAGACGTCGAGTCAGAAGGACAGCCCATGGAGGGAATGTCGCCCGAACATCCAAATTGAACTGACTGTTAGAGCAGATTAGTTTCGCTTGGAGCGCGGAAACTCTCCGCCACGATCTCGAAGTTTATTGTAAGCAAGAAAATCGACTGATGTGAACGAGGAACAAGAGAAATAGAATGGATGAATAGGAGAGGTAAAGAAGTGATAGAAAATAAACGAAAAATACAGTAGTAATCAGCTTTATTACTTCGACGAGATACGTGCGACATGGAAGGATGAGAGGAGTAGAAAGGCTGTTTCAGTGATGCCATTTGGTGCACCTAAGGGAGCATAGATGAATCTGTGAGAATTCTTTGAGTTAACCTCACTATCCTGGCGTTAATGCAAACCACATATATCATAAATCCATTCTTGATTTCTAGTTACTCTGATCACGACCAACCCCCGCCCCCTGCCCCCGCCCCGCACCGCCCCAAGTGTAGGCGGGTGACGACGCTTCGTGGCCAACGTCACCATCTGCATGCAGTGATGACAACAAGGGTTCAGGATTACATACGAACGTTAGTCCTCGTGGATACCACCATGAGAAGCGGACCACCACCATCGACGACAACGACACGCGAGAGAGGAACGAATCGAGACGATGCTGGGGGATTCGCACTATCGCTGGAGTCGGGCCATCCATGTGTTCCAGAAAGAGAGCAAAGCCAGCTAATTTTGAATAGAAACGGCGGTATGCTCAGACCTATGAACTATTCACGAAACAACGATCGGCATTGAACAGCTGGTGAGTCGAGCCGTCTACACACGTCGTTTGGGCACGTTTTTCTTTCTCCCCTGGCGTGATTTTTTCGTGGAACAGTAGGTGCGTAGCGCAAAGGTTAGAGGTGCTCTGCAACGCGTATGATCGGTCAATCGATTGTCGATGGTTCGATCCCGCGGTGATGGTTCATCAAGCTCTCATTCTGTGTGGTTGGTGATTTGGTAACAGTCTTGTTTAGGCGCATAACAGCATTGACTCGACACAGCTGGAGGTCACCGTGAGCCCACTGAGAATGACAGGCACAGGGGAGGGAGCACACATTATGAATCGTGTTTGAAGAATTTGTATTGAATTTTGCGTCTTTCCTGCTGTGTAGGTCCCTACTTTGTCTCTCGATTGCCGCTATTTGTTCGAATTTTATATATGATTTTCCTATACCCACTGATGTAGAAATCTTGTGTCAGGCGGGATTCGAACCGACATCTCACTTTATCTAAAGAGCGCGTTCTAACCCATTGTACTACTGACGCTGCCCGTTTTATCATCAAAAATTCACGCGACAATGCAACTATATGCCAGCAACTGATCGTCAGCGGTTTGGACCAGGTAGTCAGTATCGACATTGATCCCAGTGACGCTGGCAGATATTGGATGACTAAAGTGAATTTATTTTAATTTGGCCCCTTTTGGTGGTGGTATGATGTTACAGATATATTACTGGGTATATCAAAAAATTCACAGCATCTTCGATAAATACTAATTTCAAAAATGTGTGAACCCGAATGTGGCACACTTGGCCACGAGGCGACAGATCTGCATGCGCTACGAGCTGGCACACAATATCCGAAATTGCTCAGAAATACCAAGTTTGAGAGCATGAACATGAACACTGGCCCTGAACACACCGTTCCAGCACATCATTTCATACCTCGTATTCATATTTGCAGGAGCAGCCTTCTATTTCAACCTGCATGGGTTTCGAGGATCGGAGACGCCGTTCTACAAGCCAGGATAACGAAAACAAGGTGGGTCGTACACGTGATGCGCTTCAACCTGACAACTGGTGGACGAGAGCCGTTACTATCAAGCGCTCCATAGGAAGACCACCAAACCGGTGGTCTGATTTCTTCACGAAAGGCATAGAAGAAAGGTATGATGCTCAGCGAATCCCTAGAGCGAGCAGGACCCACTGGGCTACTCCTGCACGCGACAGGGAAAAATCGAAGTGTTGCTGGCAACCGCTCGTGTCACTGGGCGATCAACGGGGCGATGGGTGATACAGGTGATGGGTCTCGAGTACTAGTACTGTTGAAAGTGGTGCAACGGTTTAGCACGCGCTCCCGTAAAGAGTGAGATCTGGGTTCGAATCCCGACAGGAGCAAATGTTTTTGCACAGCACTCCACATTATTGGGTATATCATAAGATCATACCACCGCAAGAGGGGGTCCAATAAATAGATATCGATTGATTACTGTTGAAAGCTTCAGAAAAAACGATTCTTTGCAGCCACTGAGAATGTTTAAAGCCTTTTAGGGCTAGCTACGTCAGTTGCTTACGTACGTATCGTCGGTATCGACGGCCTCATCAGAGCCACACGTCCCACTAGTCAAGCCTATTTTATAGCAGGGATGATGAGACGTGCTTTTGATGTACTGAGTTTGAGAGGTACTGATTCTTTGCATTACGTGTAACGGAACCCTACACACAATGTGAATTCCAGCAACATTCCGCTTTTTTTCTTACTTTCACAAAGTTCCCAAAAATAAAATGTACAAATGAAAAAGAAGTTTCTTAGTTGAAAACAGCAATTATAGGAGAGAGTTGCTAAGAGAGTTCAAAATGAGTTGATTTCAACTCACATGGGGACGACGAGTCATGTCAACTACCATGAATAGACGCATTTTCCTAGTTGTTTGCTTTGTTTCGTGGAAACCACCTTTTATATTCTGTCGAACCTTGAGTGCACATATTTTTACATCTCAAGTCCAGCTATCTATCAACCACGGCATTCTTCAGTATTTCATAGTTCTTTCTTTGTAAGCCAACCACGAGGCTGTTATGATACAATTTGTTCTGCCAGCTGTCATTTCAGTGGTTTCGCTTATTCAGAGCCTCAGAAAATTACGTTGCTCACAACCCAGTCAGTCAACACCTTCAAAACTCTTTCAGGAAGGACTGCTAGATCTAGATTTTAACTACGGTTTTTTTTTGACTCAGTTGGTACCGACCTGATCACGGATGTCACTAAGTTTTGATAAAATTCTCTGGACTATTATGATTTATGGCCTAAAGTAATCATTTTTTACAGCGCTGAGAAGAGCAACACAGCGATCAAACAACTAAACACAGCGACTTAATAAAGAGTCCTATACAAGGAGTAAAAATTGCATACTTGTACTATTAACATAATATTAGTCCTCATGATGAAGCCATGTTTGGAAGTTGATACTCAGACGACGGAGCACAGGGAGCTGTTCCGGCATGTCTGTACAGGTGATTGCAATGTTGCACAAGCTGACCAGCTGGTTCTAGATTTCGTGGTAGCTGAGCTCAATGAGCCATGAGCCGCACGACTAGCGAAAATCGCTGGCGGAGGGTACGCTATCCACTGTAGTTGCTGAAGTAAAGTTCACATCAGAGCTTAGCTTCAATTTATTGGAGAAACACTTGATTACAATGCTATCTTGGAGGACCTTGCAGCGGTAAATTACACGTTTTGAGATCTTTATTCGGCTTTGGATTGAAACATTTCAGTATGTTGTACCGAAACGACATGGTGCCACCATGCGGCACAATTCGCCTAATCAACGAGAAACTTGCGAGACATTTCCGTGGCAGCTCAACAAAATTGTTTGCTATGTCTAACTGCCGATGTTCTACAACGTCGTAACATTTTGTGTCAAAATGTACTTATACAGACCGAGCAGCAACCGACAACACGGGCAACATTCACTCACAATGTGCTCCAGCAAAAGCTGAAAACGACCAACATTTGGAAACGTTGTGAAAATACTGTAGACAACACACAGTTCGCATGTAACACAAATTTAATGCAAAATATGTCAATCAAAGAGAATCGAAGAACTCCGACCAATCAACGCGAGAGGGAAAATATCAAAGCGCCGTTCAGCACCGACACCGCACCTACCGTTCGACAGAAATCGCAAGCTAATCGGACATCGAAGATCATCGTGAGTGTTTTGTGATTACTATAAAATCGATGTTTGCCAAATCAAAACGGGGTAAGCAGCACAATAATTTCATCGTTTCTACACTACAGGACCATAACAATTGCTGTAGGGGTGTAACTGAGTAACAGCCGAGAAAACCAACTTAGCGTATACAGTAGCATTTATATGGAAGTGTGAAGCTTTTTGCACCTAAAGAATCTTGCGAATACTAACCATTTTGCTCATCGAGATTTGATATTACTAACACGATTCATTTCCACTACTCAGCGATCTGCAAGAACCGATTTTCATCAGATTCATCTTTCATTGCCTGTATTTCTTTAGTTGAAATCATTTTACACTGTTCTTACAGTAAGACCCATATCACTGAAGGGTATTCATGAGAACAAAATCAATTGTTTAAAATGCAAATACAAAGTCGAACTTGACAAAATCAACTGCTATTAAATGTTTCATTATTGATGATATCACATGTATACGCGGTCTTGCTGATTACTAATGTCTGACCTACTCCTGAATCCACCGTCTTTCGGCTTCGCTTGAGGTATTACGCGCCTAATGCGTTACTGTCACCTCATACCTCTTCATTCCACCGCTCTTTTTTGGACCTAACTCAAACAATAATAATCTGATAAGGGCATAACATGTTTTGAGTCCTGTCTAAGTGCAACTATACAGGCTCCCGTTTCACTTGTTTTTGATATGACTTAGAACATGTTATATCTTTATCAGATTACTACTGTTTGAACTAGGTCTATAAAGGAGCGCTTTTATGAAGAGCTGTGGTTTACTTTGAAAGCCACAAGCTCGACTACCGGTCGCTACAATGTCAGGCAATTCCATCATCGGACTTGCGGTGTATTATTTCTCCTCTTCGATTCCTTCAAAGAGGAGTTCAACCTCAATGGATTGGCTGAACCGACGGACGATGCTACTTGTGAGTCTCGCTAGAACGAAACAGGTGCGTGTATAGCACTTAGTCCAAATGGCTCCAAAAATGCTATATCCTTATTACTTAACAATTTGATAACATGATAACATGTTTCAATATCGCCTAAATTCCGCGTACGCTTTCATGCAGTTGTGCATGGATTATTGCTTCAACTATTGAATGATCATCATTAATGACAGTCGGTCGTCCTTGACGTTCGCCATGTTCAATGTTTTCAGCAATGAAATGATTCAAAACAGATTTTGTTCTCGTCATTGATGAAGAGTTTAATTCTTTGATCAGTTTCATCATTACGGTTCCACCTGTATCAGTGGCATTTCGTCCAAGTCTACTCTTTATGCATATATTCACACACACACACACACACACCATATATATATATATATATATATATATATATATATATATAGACGATTTAAAAGCCTAAAACAGCAATAGTCTCAATGTATAAAGCAAATATTATTGTAGCAAAGAAGACCTAATACTTATAAAGCTGATGCCGATTTTGAAGCATGATGTTCAATTTTTAAGCAAAGTAAAAGTGGAAATTGACGAGTTCTGTGATGATCGACCACATTTGAGCATTTGCTTTACAGCATCCACAGTATACTTAACGGTTTTCAGGAAAAAGCGACTGAAAGCGGTGTGACTATGTCCCTGAAAGTCTACACACGTTCAGCTCCGCGGTTAGTCTTCCCATTTTTTTTTCAATTTTCAACATTCCTATCTACGATATACGGTCAGATGATGACGTTTGTTCAGCGAGGTGAAATGTAGTTATGCGAGGCGTACCATCGGGCCGAATGCAATAACAACTAGGCAGATTCAAAACGAGACAAAGTGGCAGATCACTCGCTCTTTCTACGCTACTACGTGTTATCTGTCAGTAGCCAACCGTCAACAGCCTGGCATGGTAATCGTTATCGAGATTGAAGCCACTTATTCTGGCAAATATTGTGTATCGACAATCAATCAGAATACCCACGCCAGACCGTTGACGGTTAGCTGTTGACAGATACGCGTTGTAACGTAGAAGGAGTGATGTCAAAACGGGCGTCGGTAGTGCAACGGTTCAGCACCCGGCTCCGGATAGGGTGAAATCTGGATTCAAATCCCTGCTGACGCAAATGTTCTTGCACGCCACTACATCATTGGGTATATTACAACACCAAACCACCGCAAGAGGCGGTCAAATAATGTATTCCAACTGATTATAAACATCAGTAGTCTCAAAATATAAAATCTAGTGAATAGGATTAGTGATCTTTAGTGTAGTAATGAATAAAATCCTCTTCTTCAGGGTGTAAAGTAATGGGTAGGTATAACAACTTATTTGAAAACATATCTGTCATATAAGAGAGTTACAAATAAAAGAAATACGGTTTCAGGACAGCAAGCTTCTTCGTAGACAGCGTAACGAACCAGAACGTGAACATCTCAGAGAATACACACACATGCTTATCGAAACTGAATCGTCTCCGCATGCCAAGTGAGCAGTGCTAATTCTTATGTGAATATGAAGATCATTGATTAGCCTGATTTAGATGCCGCTCCTTGATCGAGAAGGCGAAGAAGCGCATTTCCAACATGTTCACACCCGAATACGATACTCTAAAACGCGAGCAGCTCATTCACCTCGCTATACTCAATGGAACGTATAGAGAGACGGCTTCGTCAGCTCGATCTACATGATTTACCACAATTAATCGACATCATTGCCATGTCGTGACAGAATAAATCGAGATTTAACTGTTAACTTTCTCTTCGGGTTTAGTCTCCTAACATTTTTCTTAAATCGAAGTTGAAGTCAATTTTATGCTTGTCTGACCACGACAGTCATTTTTCTCAGAAGATCCTCTTCGGTGCCCTCATTTCATCCAAACTTTCAGCATCTAACTGATGCTGTTAACATTATCAGTATTATAACTAACTCTAAAAAATGTTTCAATTTCTATTGTGATGGCTAGCTATGTATAGTGAGCCTGTGCATGACATAATTAAATGACTAAATTTATCCATTCCATAAATTCCAACGATATTTAGCGCTGGTGTATTTCTCCAACAATTACACTCTTATCTTGTTAACACACCATCTATATCATGTGATCTATGGCAAAAGTACAAAGGAAGCCTAAGCGATATTCACAAGTGGATGTAAGTATACTACATACCGTATACACCGTACTGATACATCCGATCATACATGTTATATTCGGCGACTTCTATGCCGTTTTGCCAAAACAGAGGGATTGCGAATTCGAAAACCTCGATTATCGAAATGTTTCCACATAACTGGAATGCGTAAGAATCTTGTGGTAGAATTTCATTTAATTTATTTCATATACAGTATGTAAGAATGTTTCAAGCCTTTTCGAAGGTGATACGTCCATTCCGTTCGTGGCTTACGCCCGTTTTAGCGAAATCGCCATCATTAGAGCCACACGCCCCACTAGTCAAGTCTACCTTAGAGCAGTGATGGGTGAGGTGTTTTTTTGACTCACTGAGGCTCAGAGGTACTGATTCTTTGCCTACTAATGAAAAGGAAATTTTCAGATTAATAGTAGTCATTACGAAAAAATTTCCAAAAAAGTCCGACGTAAGTTGATTCTCATTCACACGGGAACGATGAATGAAGTTAGTCACCGTGGATAGACACGCGTGATTCTTTTTTTAGTTGTTTGTTTTGCTTCATGGAAGCCATCTTTATATTCTACCGAGCCTCAAGTGCACACACCTTTGGATCTGAAGTCCGACTGTCTCTTGATCACGGCTTTCGTCAACATTCCATAGTTCTTTCTTTGTAAGCCTAAGGCGAGATTGTTATTATGCAGTTTATTCTGACAGCTGACGTTTCAGTAGTTTCACGCTCTCGGGAGCGTAAAAAAATCAGGTTGCTCACAATCCAGTCAGTTAAATACCTCCACAACTCCGGAAAAAACTATTTCACCTAGATTTCAATCGCGTTAGAAACAAAACGACTCTTCTACACATGCTTCCTCTACGTCTGACACTAAGTTGCTTAAGTGGAAACTGTTTACAGTAATGGACAACGCAATTAATCGCACTATCAGTAATTGGCAATTTATATATACGATTGAATCAAGCATAAATTAATGCAGCTTTGTGTCTGTAGGAAGCGATCGATATTGTTCTATTGTTCTTAGTGTGATCAGAAATGCTTTTAACTATTAGGTTGGTGCAAAATGATTATGGTTTGTGCATTGTTAACCCGTTGACAACGACATGAGCTGCTTTTAGTTCAAGCCGCACGCCGTGTCTCGGACTAAATATGTATTGGCGCGTTGCCGCACAGATTTGATACTTATTTGATGAGATAAATTATTCCTGTTCTTCTTTCAAATATTTTATTATTATTAAAATACCCACCCAATTGCAGTTTCACCAATATAACAGGATACACAAAAACTTTTGAAAAAATTACTAGAAAAATCATTTTGTTTTACTCATAGGGAAATATTAGCGTTTTTTTTACCACCAGTACTCTTATTCATGTTTAATCAATCATACTCCATCAAATCCTTATGAGAATTCAACTATTTATCTACGTTTATTTCCAAACTTCATCAGAAACTACCGCGCTGTCATTGTAGCTCTCCACGCGACCGCATTGCGTGGCGCACAAAATTTCATCGACAATGTGAAGGGATTGAAATTTGCCGTTTGGTATTCGAATGAAATCTTATATAAATGTGGTTATTTTATATACCATTCCAACGCACATTTCTCGCTCTACGTTTTTTTGCTAATGACTTTGCTGTTTATTATGTACTTATTTTAGACTATGGAAAGGATATTGTTTGGCACAAAAGTAAAGGCGGCTTCGGATGCTGAGATCGAAATGGGACGCTAATCAGCACAGACAAATCTCAACATTAACAAAACATTTGGCCAGAAACTGCTAAGAAACATGCAATTCAGTGGTGGCTCAAGAAATTCAGTAATGGAGACGACAGTTTTGAAGATGAGAACGTAGCGACCAACCAGCGGAAACTGACAACGAGAAATATACAGCAATAATCAAAACTGGGTTTTCTAAGAGTACGCATAAAAATGCAGAAAAGCTCAGTGTCGACCATTCTACGGATGTTCAGTTTTTCAAGGAAAATGGTAAAGCAAAGAAAGTTGGTGCAGAAGTAATGACGGTCTAATCACAGCCAACCGACAGCCATTTGTGGTACAATGAACGCTTCAAAAGAAACGAGCTTAGCTACCAAGTTTTGTTTCGTCCTTTATAATCGTTTGACTTCGCGCTCTCCGATTACCTCTTCTTCAAGCGTCTCAGCAATATTCTGGAGAGAAGACGCTTCAACAACCAGCAGTATGCAGAAGACACCTTCGAGGAGTTCTAGAAATCCCAAAGCATCAGCTCTTGAGCTATAGGGGTAATCAAGCTTATTCGCCGTTGGCGATATTGTGCTAATTGTAGTAGTTTTTGTTTTGACTAAAGAAGATCTGATTATAATGAAAATAAGTAACAGTCTGAAACCGCCTTCTCTTTTGCACCAACCTAACAGTTACCAAAGTGGCCTCAAGAAGATCTGACTGGGCGCTTTATCATCACTATCCAGATAAAGACGAAGTCACTGAAGTTGAATCATAACATATTATTGATTGTGATAGTGATATCGTTTTTAATTGATTTCTGGAGAGAACTGATTGTTCTACCAACAGAAGTGTCGAAATGCAAAAGAATTTCCGGGGGTGCGTGGTAAGCAATCGCAGTAGTGTGGCTCCTATTCTGCTCCAAGCTTCACATATCATTAAGTATTATTGGTTGAATAATTATGACATCATACCACCGCTAAAAAAAAGGTTGAACAGGCAATTCTTTTTTACAAATGTGTATTATCGGCGCCATGTCGAATGGTTGTAATGCCCGTCGTTGTGCGTGGGGCCGAGCTCTACCTCCAACACCTTTCTATCAGGCAACAAGAACGCCTTTAGAACGCCACAACCAGGCTATCCTCGAGATTACAAGAAGACATGCTCGACCAGCATTCTACGTCATTCAAGAAGACGAAAAATGAATCGAATGCTAAAAGTGCTGGGATCCGCACAATAAAATTGTGTTGACGGATCGTCTAAGTAGAACAAATATCTACCGAAATAAGAATGTTTAAGATATGTGCTCACCACGGTAAGCCGTTGACGGCTTGTTGTTGACAAATTCATACCTTGTCTCAAAAAAAGTGGCAGCAGAATAGGAGCCTCAATAATACAATTTGGTTAGCACACGCCTCCAATATTGGGTGTCTACCTATCGCTTCGCGTCCGTCTATGATTCAAAGTATTCCAGAAAGGTGAAAAGGATAAAGCTCTCGGCTTTTATCAATCCCTGACGGATGCGCTATGGATTCGTCTTCAATTTTTGACTTTGTTTGAGGTGATTATACTGAACATCCAATGATGCATGTTATATTCGGCGACTTTTATGCCAAAACAAGAGGATTGCGTATGTGTGAATATCGATTATTGGAATGTTTCTACATAACCGAAATACGTAAATATCCTAAGGCAGCATTTTATGTACTTCATTTCCATATATAGTCTGTAAGAATGTTTCGAGCCTTTTCGTAGTCGATACGTTACGTTTCGTTTGTGACTTACGCAATCTTGAAGAGCGCATGTTGCAGAGGGGTTAGAGCTGCTTTGCGTCACACATGAGGTCGCTGGTTCGATCTCGAGCTCATGGCCCACCAAATTATCCACCCATCCCCTCGGGGTCGGTAAATTAATGCCATACTGGTGTCATACTTGTTTGAGAGGATAAGCAGCAGTGACTCATGTAGCAGGAGGTTGCTGTGAGTCATTCTAAAGGTCAGATGCGCCTTCAAACACCTCAAACGAAGTCAAAATTTGAAGACGAATGCATAGCGCATACGTAGGGATTGCTCAACACCAGGAGCTTTATCCTTTCCATCCTTCATTGAATGAATCAAATAATATACGATTTGTTTCGTGCGTCTTCTTAGGGCCACGCTCAAAATTAAATATATCAAATATTTATTATTTAAGCCAACATGTCATACGGTCTGTTATGGGCTCATGTACAACCCGATATACGTGTTTCGGCCTTGCAGCCTCGCCAGTCGTTCAAGCCCTTGC